TGGTTGTCAGGGTTGACTCACTGGCAGCAGATCTCAAGGATAAGTGGGTCAGACACATGGGCCCTGTGAGTGTCTGTTGGTTTTCAAAATTATCATGTGAGACTTCCAGAATTGTCAAAGGATGCTGAGACATATGTTCTGTCTGGAATAAGAGAAGCTGAATTGATTGCTTCCTACAGCAAGAGACTGTTGATCTTACGCAGGACATTGGATACATGCAAGTCTGTCCACATCTGTGTGGCCAGTGATCGTTAGGTGGGACTGTTGTTGTCATGCTGTTGGATCAAGTCATTTTGATTGCTGATTTACAAAAACAGAATGACATTGGCTTGTAAACAGTGCTTTGTTTCGGTGACTTGACATAAATTGATTAAACTATTTTAAAACCAGTTCTTGTGGCTACTTGTACCATTGTTATAGAATACTAAGGCTTCTAAAATTTACTTAATTTTCAGGAATACATCAATGTTGATGTTTCATCCATTTTTAGTCAGTTTCTTACATATTAATCTTAAATTCACAAGGAACTTATTTTTTGAATGGCTAGCAAATTATAAATTATTCTATCTTTTTTTTTTTATTATTTTTTTTTTCTGGTGCGGGGTAAACCCAGGGCCTTGCCCAGGCTAAGCACATGCTGTACCACTAACTAAACCCCTGCCCTATAATGACAGTTTTATATGTAGGATTCTATGTACAAATTTTACAACTTCATATGCTACTGTGATTATTTCAAAGAACTTTAAAAAATATATTTTCACATAGTTAGACATTAAATTTTAAGAACCTTAAAGTTCTAGCCTGTTAATTTAGTAATTCCACTTTTCTCAAAGAAGTAATTGTAAGTATAGAAGAATCTTTATAAAAGATGGCCATGCAGAATTATTTGGAAGTAAGAAACAATAGAATTGTTACTCAAAAAGTAATAAAAAGTATTGAAAGAGGGAAATTAAAACAAAAAGTAATAGTAAATTAAAGTACCCTCTGCTTAATGAAAAGTGTTATGCAACCATTAATATTATTGAAGGGGTTAGTAAAACATTTTAATTTATTTTCTACACTGTTGTTTGCATTTTATACACAATGATTGATTAAATAGAGGAGGGGAGAGTGTCATTCAGTGGTAGAGCACTTCCCTACTATGAGTGAGGCCCTGGGTTAGATCCCCAGCACTGCAAAACAAACAAACAAACCCATATGTACTTCGCCTGTAATCCTAGCTACTTGGGAGGCTAAGATCAAGAGGATGATGGTTTGAGGCTGGTCTGAGTAAATATTTCTTGAGGACCCTCTTCTCCAAAATAACCAGAGCAGAATGGATTGGAGGTGTGGCTCAAGTAATAGAGCACCTGCTTCACAAGCACAAAGGCTTGAGTTCAAAGCCCAGTCCTACTAAAAAAAGAAAAAAAAAAAATATATATATATGGATATATATAGATAGATAGATGATCGAAACTATATAAATAGGAAGCTAAAATTCATAAGAAGATCTGGAATAAAATCTCTAACTTCATTTAAAACAATCTTTACTTCCTTATTACTACCTGTTTGTTCTGGTTTTTTTTTTGTACTGGGGTTTGAACTCGGGGTCTATACCTTGAGCCACTCCACCAGCCCTTTTTTGTGATGGGTTTTTTCGAGATAGTGTGTCTTGAACTATTTGCCAGAGGCTAACTTCGAACCACAGTCCTCCTGATCTCTGCCTCCTGAGCAGCTACATTTACAGGCGTGAGCCACCGGCACCTCTGTGTATATTGAGTATTTCTCCCAGTTGTGTTTAATTTTTTTTCACCTTGGGTGTTCTATAATAATTATCTTATGTCATAATTTTAATACGTACAATTATTGGCAGGAAAAATGAATACTGCATGACTGATTCAGAAAGCTTTTTTTGCAGTACTGATAGTTGAACTCAGGGCCTTGTGCTTGCAACTAGGCAGGTGCTGTACCACTTGAGCCATGCTCCCAGCCCTTTTTTGCTTTAGTTATTTTTCATTAGGATCTTGTATTTTTCCTCAGGTCCAGGCTCATATTGTAATTGTGCCTCCTGCATATTTGAGATCATAGGCTTGCATCCCCACTGCCTGCAGAAAACATTTTTGACAAGTTACATATAACACTCCATTTAATCTTTTTTTTTTGAAAAATCCTTTCTGCCAGATATATCTGTTACTATAATTTTTAGCTTGCTGTGAATTTTGTTTGTTCAGTGCTGGGCATGAACCCCAGGACATGAGCATGCTAGGCAAGAGCTCTGCTTCTGAGCACATCCCCTAGCCCACTATGTATTTGTAAATTTAAAAAATTTTAAGGTACATTATATATGTAACATAAAATTTATCAGTGTAGCACAAAGCTTATCATTTCAACTGTTTTAAAGTGCACAGCACAGTGGATTAAGTGCGCTCACCATGTTGGGCCACAAAGTCACCCAGGACTTTCCATCATCTCCACCAAAAACTGTGTCCATTATACAGTGAATGCTGGTCATGTCTATTTCAATAATTTCCTTACTTTAACATAAATACATGTGTTTATTATAGAAATTTTTAGGGCTAGGGGCATGGCTCAAGTGGTAGAGCACTTGTCTAGCAAGCATGAGGTCCTAAGTTCAAACCCCAGTACCACCAGAAACAAATTTTTTTTCAATTGCAAAGAAGTCCAAAGATTAAAATAAGTTATCCATAATCCTATCACTCAGGAAAAAACATTGATGTTTGGTTTATCTTTATGTTTTGCCATTCCTTCAATGAAAAATTTAAGCACAAGATGTTTAAAGAAGTAACATTTTGCCAAAAAAAGCCCCGATTCTGAGGTCTCTTTCTATGTGGCTCATGCTGGCCTTGAACTTGGATTCCTCTTACCTCAGCCTCGAAGTACTGGGATTGCAGGCTGCCACACTCTTCAGTATTGGAGTTTTGGAATCATCCTACATTCTTTATTTCCTTCTCAGTCCCTTTTTAGCATTTTCTTGCCTATCCTCCTCACCCCCAAGTCCATCTTCCCCTTCGATAATTACGGGGAATGGATTTGAGTTATGAGAATAAATTAACTTAAATCCTGTGTAAATATTAAATATGGGGGTTGCTTTTTTTCTTCTTGCTGTTCTGAGGATTGAACTCAGAGCCCCATGCATTCTAGGCAAGCCCTCTACTGCTTGAACCACATCCCAGTCCTTTAAATTTTTCTTTCTTTTGACAGTACTGGGGTTTGAACTCATGGCCTCATGCTTGCTAGGTAGGCGCTTTTACCACTTGAGCTACTCCAACATCAGGCAGCCCTTTTTTTGTGATTTTTTTTTTTTTTTTTGAGATAGCGTCTCTCAACCTACTTGCCCAGGGTTATCTTCCAACCTTGTTCCTGTTGATCTCTGCCTTCTGAGTAATTTGGATTATAGGATGAACGACCAGTGCCTGGCTTCTGCATTCTTCCTTAAGGAAATTTCTGCAGAATTCTAATTCCAGAATGGTAATAGATACTCAGTGAGGTGAAAATTAATAGCATGGGGAGGAGTCTGTGGCTAAGTAAATCGGAGGTCAATAAGCTGAATATATTTGTCTACTTCAGCATTTTTCAGAAGCTCACGTGATAATGTGTGTTGCGCTTCTCTGAGAAGGGTTTGTCTTAAGCCCAGTGGGCCTCAATTGTTTGGTTGTGGAGCCTTTTTCACCCCTTACAAGCCTCAAGGTTCTCGAACACTGTGGTTCCTGAGGAATATACGGTGCAGACACCTGCCCCACCTCTGCTCTAGCCTCTACTCCTACCCCTGATTGTCCCCACCCTTTCTCTGTCTAGAGTGTGTTTGTGCTTCTGCCCAGCAGTTTCTGTAGCTCATTCTTCTCCCAGTGGCTGCTGCTCTGTAATATCCTTGGACTGCCTGGGTGTCCTTACACATGGTATCTGTGACTTTGTTTTGCTGCTTTGGTCATGGCCTTGTACACAGGTTATCAGAAAGAATGTTTGTCATTCGAGGGCCTTTTTATCTCTGTATCTTTAGCATAACAACCATTGTCTTCCTGCTGATGGGTGCTTGGAAATAACTTCTTCCTTCAGCTAAGAAAGGGCAAATGCAATTTAAAGAATGCTTTTCCTGAGCCCCTTGTAGACTATATTCTAGTAATGACCATACACAATAATAATTGTCTTAATGATAAAAGTACCTTATTTTACAGAACAGAGTGAAATTTATTGACTTGTTGCTGCCTTTAATATGGTTTTCACTAGTTTTTAATTTTTTTTTGTAATGTTAGAAAAGAGATGAAAGTCCTTTAAAAAAAAAAAAAAAAGACACAACTGAGCCAGGTGTTATGGACCACTTCTTTAATCCTGGCTACACAGGAGGTAGAAATGGAAGGATCACTGTTCAAGGCCAGCCCATGCAAAAAAGTTAGCTACTCCCATCTCTCAAAAACAACAACAACAACAAAAGAGCTGAGTGTGGTGGTACAGGCCTATAATTCCAGCTACAAAATAGGCATAGGTAGGAAGACCACAGTCTGAGGCCAGCTCCAGACAAAAATTCAAGACTCTATCTGAAAAGTAATTGAAGTAAAAAGGGCTAGGGATATAGTTCAAGTTTTAAAAAAGCAAAACAGAACCCAGAACTGCCCTAATAATAATAATAATATCTAGGTGCTGCTGGCTCACACCTGTAATCCTAGCTATTTGGGAGGCTGAGATTGAGAGGATCACAGTTTGAGGCCAGCCTGGGCAAATGGTTCTCAAGCCCCCATCTCCAAAACAACCAGAGTAAAATGGACTAGAGGTGTGACTCGAGCAGCATAACACCTGCTTTGCATGTGTGAAACCCTGAGTTCAAACCCTAGTCCCACCAAACATAAATAAACAAACAAATAAATAAATGGTACACTGAAGCCTTCTGGTAGTAGTTAGCTGTGATTATATCATTAGACTGCTAAACTCCTTGTTTGAGTCCCTTGTCCCTTTCATGTTACTCTATGTACAAATGTAATCCAAAAGTCTTTTGCCTCTTTCCAAAGGCATGCAATGTATCAGCAGAACAAAGAAAACTTCCAGGATGAGTGCAGTAAACTTCTGGTTGGCAATATTGTTATCACCCGGTACAACAATCGCACATACCGTATCGATGATGTGGACTGGAATAAGACCCCAAAAGACAGCTTCACCATGTCTGATGGGAAGGACATCACGTTCCTGGAATACTACAGGTGAAAAGGAGAGATGGGGGAAGGGCCTGTGGATGGGGTGGTATGTCCTCTCTCATTCTCAAGAGAATACTGAGCTCCATTACAGCATACAACCTGACACTTTAAAAATAACTACATTGGTAACATGTCCAGCATTTGAATGGCCTCATTTGTGGGATTTGACCTGAATGTGCTACCCTCACAGCTTCAGTTCTTTTGGTACTTTGGGAAGTTACTACTAAATTTGTGTCAGGGCTTTGAGGTTCTTTTTTTTTTTTTTTTTTAGGCAGGTGCTCTACTATTTGAGCAACTCTACCAGCCGTTTTTTGTGTTGAGTATTTCCGAGATAGGGTCATGTGAACTATTTTGCTAGGGCTGGCCTTGAACCACGATCCTCCCAATCTCTGCCTCCCAAGTACCTAGGATTACAGGTGTGAGCTATGAGGGTTCTTTTGGTTTTGTTTTGTTGCAGTACTGGGAATCAAACCCAGGGCTTTGTACATACTGGGCAAGCAGTCAGCCACTGAGCAGGGCTATGGATTGTGTTTCTTTTTCAGATTTTCTTAGAAGTCTGGTAGGAGAGATTAATTTCAAGTCATAAACCATTCGACTGTCATTTCACCTTTGATTGCCTGTGCCCTTTAGCCTGTTTTTACCATATTCTTGCTTGGAGTTTTAGCTTTAGTTCTTTATTTAATTGCAGTGCAACTTGAGCTTGCTTTTTCCAGTTGTAACTATATTATTTCCAATGGGTCTTTGACAAGGATATCACACAAGTCATAAAAGACACAGTGTGTGTTGCTGTAAAGTGTGGTTCTACTTCTGAAATGTCTCCTGCCTCTGCTCTGCTCTAGCAAAAACTATGGGATCACAGTGAAGGAAGAAGACCAGCCATTGCTCATCCACAGGCCCAGTGAGAGACAGAACAACCATGGCACAGTGAGTGGTGGTATCCAGCTTACACATCCAGTGAAGTCTTCTGTCCACCGCTTGAAGTCTTCCTCAGGCTTGGTGGGATCTATGAGGCTGTGATTACCACATGGTGGGAAACTGGGCGAGGTTTCCTCTCATCTAGCTAGAGGTGCCACGTCACATTTCTAGGACTTGAATTTTGAAGTCTCCACAAGGAGGAGCTAAATATCCATGCGAATAGTTTAGGTTAAAGGAATAAGGAGAAGTTCCTATGCATGGAGATTAAAATTCTGGTATAGACATTTATTTTAGCAGGAGAAGGGCCCAGAGAAGTACGCTGTTACCTGACTCCTGTCTTAAACATGAAGACAGAATCAGCAGGATATATTATTGTCTTACTACCATTGTCTTGAGAACCCAGAGGGACAGAATTGGGTTTTGTTTTTCTAGTTTTTCCTCTCCTTTTGACAGTTTTTCCCTTTACTTAATACTGTAGTCATCTGTGTGGGATGACTGGGCGGGGGGGGGGGGGAGAGTAAAATGGTTCCCTGCCCCCCCCACCCCAAGGGGTTTTATGTTCCATAAAGGCAAAGTCACTGTAGCCCCTTTGTGCGGCCAGGGGACGCCATCCTCTTTACTGCTTCACTTTCCCTCTCTTCTCTGTCACAGCTGCTGAAAGGCGAAATCCTACTGCTACCTGAACTTTCCTTTATGACTGGGATCCCAGAGAAGATGAAGAAGGATTTCAGAGCCATGAAGGTTGGAGTCCTGCTGTTTTCAATGGGAAACACCTGCTGTGAACGTGACCTGTTTGGATAGTTTCGTTAGAATGTGGCCAGGTTCTGACTCTGCCTTGCATTGTCATCTGGGCAAGTCCTTTCTTCCTGGCTCCAATTTTCCTCTCTGTGATACATGACCCATGTCCCTTCCCACATTCAATATTAAAAGGCATGTCCCAGTTTCTCTGTGAAGGTTGTTAGAACAGGAGAGGCTCTGGATTATAAGGAAAAAGAGCCCTGTTCTCATCACTACTAGTCAGGTGGGTAATGCTTAATTGTTCACATGACCAAATGAAGTTCCTTGAGAGCACTTAAGTCATGGTCCCATTTCTATAAAGCCTCAGTTTATTTGAAGATGTGGAGGAGGCAGCAAGGCAGAATCTCAGCAAGTGGGAAGATGATGAGAGACATTTATCCAGCAGGACTCTACAGTCCTAGGAGCAGTGGACTCAGCCCTAGCAAACTAGCTGAGAGGCAGAGATGGGCGCAGCAGCCCTCATGCAGTATGTGATAAACTTCCACTGCTGCTTGCCAATCTGGGGCTATCTATCCTTTCTCTTTTCTTTTTTTTTTTTTTTGTGCTGCTGGGGTTTGAACTCAGAGCCTATGCCTTGAGTCACTCCACCAGCCCTTTTTTGTGATGGGTTTCTTTGAGATAGGATCTCTCAAACTATTTACCTGGGCTGGCATTGACACATGATCCTCCTCATCTTTGCCTCCTGAATTGCTAGGATTACAGGCGTGAGCCAGTGGCACCCTGCTGGCTATCCATTCTTGAGTTGCTCTCTGCAAACCTGGCTTTCCTGGGCTGTCCCAGACCCACAAGCAATGTAGAATTTTTAATAACATCGTAAAGCGCCTGAAGTGAAGCTGAAAATCCCTAGGGGTTTTTTTTTCTTTCATCCTTATCTTTTGATACTTATGCTTTGATTATGTAGGTCAAGTCCCCTTCTTTACAGCTCCCAGCTCTCAGTTGCCTAATGATTTTATGAATCACAGAGCTATCTATATAACTCTGTACAGTTCATTAGTTCCAGAAGAATAAAGAACTCCCCAACATGATTTAGAAACTTTGTACACACCTATATATATAATATATAATATATATATATAATTTTTGTTACTACATTTTTAACCTTATACCTTGCTCACATTCCTAAGAGAATATTGGTACTGATTTTAATGGGGAGGAGGTTTTTGTGGAAACATTTCACACACATTGGGGTTTATTTAACTTCATATTGGAGGAAGTAATGCTATCTTCATTTTAATTCCATTTAGGATTTGACCCAACAGATCAACCTGAGCCCCAAACAGCACCATAATGCTTTGGGATGCTTGCTGCAGAGGATTTCAGAGAATGAGACAGCCAACAGTGAGCTGACACGTTGGGGGCTCTGTCTGCAAAAGGATGTACACAAGGTAAACCCAAAGACGTGATGGGACAGCATACAGCATGAGCTGAGGGCTGTGAGGTTTGTGAGACTACACGGTCACTTTCTAATTTGACTTTTGTGAGTGTGTGTGTGAACTCAGGGCCTTGCACTTGCTAGGCAGACACTCTAGCAGTTGGGCTACACTCACAGTCTTTTTTACTTTGATTATTTTGGAGATGGATCTTGCTTTATGCCCAGGCCAGCCTGGACCTCAATCCTTCTATTCATACTTCTTGTATAGCTGGGATGACAGACATGACACTACTATGCCAAGCCGTTGGTTGAAATGGGGTCTCACAAATTTTTTGCTCAAGCTGGCCTTGAAACATGATTCTTCTGATCTCTACCTCCAGAGTAGCTAGGTTACAGGCTTGAGCCACTGTGCCTGGCCTATCCAATTCTTCTTCTTCTTTTTTTTTTTTTTTTTTTGGTGGGGCTAGAGTTTGAACTCAGGGCTTCACACTTGGGAAGCAAGTGCTCTACCACTTGAGCCAAGCCTCTGGTTTTGGACATGTGGTCCATTTTGCTCTGGTTATTTTGGACATGAAGTCTTGTATATACCAGGGCTGGCCTCAAACTGCAATCCTCCTAATATCAGCCTCCCAAGTAGTTAGGATTATAGGCGTGAGCCATGGGTGTCCATACCAAATTATTCTAAAAGTTATGTGTTTCTTTTCTTTTTGTTCTTCACCCCCCCAAGTTTTTTTCTTTCTAATAATTTTTATTTTCTTGATTGTAATTCTGTTGTTCTTTCTGTAGGCATAAGAGTATCTGACTTGTGTGATCTCATTTCTTATGGTCCTTTGCACCTGAAGATCGCCTGTGTTGACTGTTGTATTTTGTTCAGGCTTGATCCACAGTGCAAAGGAAGCATGGGTGTTGGTAAAGTCCTCTGACTTTGCTACTAGCTGTTTTGGCTTTAAATCCCAGTTCTACTATTTGTCATCTTGGTTACTTTAAGCAAGTAATTTCTGCTTATTGAGACTATACCTCAAAAACCAAGACCTAAGATGTAGCTCAGTGATAAAGCACTTGCCTAACATTCATGAGGCTCTGGGTTTCATTCCCAACACTGAAAAAGAAAAAGGAAGAAGGAACAAAAAAATTAAGTAGACCTATGTTTAGCTTTGTTAAGAACTTTTGCCTTACATGATAAAAGCGAGAGCACACAAGGGAGGGGTGAGGATAGGTAAGACACCTAAAAAACTAGCTAGCATTTGTTGCCCTTAACGCAGAGAAACTAAAGCAGATACCTTAAAGCAACTGAGGCCAATAGGAAAAGGGGAACAGGTACTAGAGAAAAGGTTAGATCAAAAAGAATTAACCTAGAAGGTAACACCCACGCACAGGAAATCAATGTGAGTCGATGCCCTGTATAGCTATCCTTATCTCAACCAGCAAAAACCCTTGTTCCTTCCTATTATTGCTTATACTCTCTCTACAACAAAATTAGAAATAAGGGCAAAATAGTTTCTGCTGGGTATTGAGGGGGGGGGAGAGGGAGGGGGCGGAGTGGGTGGTAAGGGAGGGGGTGGGGGCAGGGGGGAGAAATGACCCAAGCCTTGTATGCACATATGAATAATAAAAGAAAAAAGAAAAAAAAAAACCCATGATTAAAAAAAAAAGAACTTTTGCCTTAGATGAGCATTGTGGTACATACTTGTAATCTCAGTATTTGGTAGGCTGAGAGAGAATCGTGAGTTCAAAGCTATCCTGGGTGACACTACAAGACCCTGTCTCAAAACAACAATAAAGAAGCTGGGTGCAGGTAGCTCACACCTGTAATCCTTCCTACTCAGGAAGCAGAGATCAGGAGGATTGCAATTTGAAGCCAACCAGATCATAAGGCCCTATTTTGAAAATACCCAACACAGAACAGGGCTTGTGGAGCGGCTCAAGTGGTAGAACGCTTGCTTAGCAAGCATGGGGCCCTGAGTTCAAACTCCAGTACCACAAACAAACAGAAAAACAGCAAAGAAGAAATCTGCCTTTCATTTTTTTCTTTTCAGTGTTTTCCTTAAAATATTTTTCAAAGATTGTATTCTTTCATTCATCGGTTCTAAAGAGAATGTTTTTGAATGCCTTTCTTGGGATACCATGTTTGAAAGTCAGTAATGACAGAGTAGTACATACAAGATTTTACTCCTGTGTGTCCAGGCCTTGACTGACATGGACTCTCGTTGCTAGAAGTTTTGGTTTTCTGCCATTCTTTAAAAGTTATGGCAGTGTTAAGTCTAAGTGGTACAGCTAACCAGGCCTCAGAGACAACAAATAGTACTGATGTTTTCCTAAGTAATGTCATAGGTACTTTATTTTCCATGTAGATTGAAGGACGTGTTCTGCCAATGGAAAGAATTAACTTAAGAAATACTTCTTTTATCACATCTCAAGACCTGAATTGGATTAAGGAAGTAACCAGAGACATTTCCATCTTGACTGTGAGTGATTTTTGAAGTGTTAAAGAGAAGTATTCCCCAAAGTGTGGAAGTTAGGGAACAGGAATGATAGGGTTTCGTCTTTTTGAAAGGGTTTTCATTTTGCATTACCTGCTAACCAAGGTCCTTCCAGCAGAGCAGTGGAGTAGTTGTTAGAGGGTAGGTCTCTGCCAGACCACTGACTGAATAGCCGGAAATGTGTTGCCATGGTAATTCATCTAATGTCAGCTCACTACCCACCCACATTCCCTTCTTTCTTCCTTCTCTCTTTCCCACTCTTTTTTCCCTGAGGGCTCCCAGAGGATGTTTTTTATCCATTAAAGATGTCTAATTCAACAGTACCTCCCTAGTACATTAACTATTTGTATCAAAAAACAAAAGTAGCACACAGTTATTTCTAAGTGTTTTTGAACAAACTAGTCTTTGTGGCCATGTATGAAATACATACATTGGTTTTTAAAACTTACTGTTGAAAGCTATTTAAAGAAAAAGCAAACATTTAAATGCATAGCTTGATGAATTTTCACAAATACTGCATAGCATAATCAACACGAAGGGTTAAGAAGCAGAAGCATCCAGACAACCTAGAAGCTCCTTCCTCCTTGCTTCTAGGTACTGTAACCTGCCTCTCTCAGCCCCGCCCAGCCCCTCCCCCCACGGAATCACTGTGGTGACTTAATAGCAGAGATTCATTTCAACTGTTTTTGTACTTTATATTCATAGAATCATAGAATGTATATTCTTTTATGTCTAGCTTCTTTTCTTCAACTTTGCATTTATGGTTTTATCTGTATTGTTGGATATGATTATGGACGTTCCATCCTCATTGTTGTATAGTCTTCCTCTGTGAGACTGGGCACAGTTTACTTGTGAATCCATGTGAATGAGGAATTAGATGACATAGGGCTCAAGCAGTAGGAGTGAAAAGGCATTTATTCTCTATAATGAAATCTCTGGAGTGTAAGTTTGAAATATTTAAGTTGGAAGAAGTACTAAAAATAGCATGTGGTTATTCCTAGGTCCCCATGCATTTTTGGGCCCTTTTTTACCCAAAGAGAGCAATGGATCAGGCACGAGAACTTGTTAACATGTTGGAAAAGGTGGCTGGCCCCATTGGCATACGTATGAGCCCACCTGCCTGGGTTGAACTGAAAGATGACCGGATAGAGACCTATGTCAGAACCATCCAATCCATGCTGGGAGTTGAGGTAATAAAGTTGAAGTAATCCTTCATTTATAGGATTTTTTTTTGGTGGGGCTGGGGTTTGAACTCAGGGTCTCACACTTGCTAGTCAGATACTCTCCCATTTGAGCCACACTTCTGGCTCATTTTGCTCTTGTTATTTTGGAGATGGGGGTCTTGAGAACTATTTGCCTGGGCTGACCTCACACCTCAGTTTCTCAGTTTCAGCCTCCTAAGTAACTACAATTATAGGCGATTGTAGGCGTGAGCCAGAGGTGCCTAGCTGACTCTGTCTTTTAAAATACTTGAATATTTAATTTTTAAATTATCTAGGTTACCAGTCTGTTATTAAGGATGTTTTACTCATTTGCATTCTTATGAAATACTGAGCCAAGAAACTAATTTCTATGCCCTTTGGTTAGTTTTGTTTCTCTCAGTCTGTGCTGGCTCGCTCACTCATTCACTCAATCTAGCCTCCCTTTTCTCACGTAATTAGCTGAGAGAATAGCTGGCTTAACTTTAGCTCATTATCTATAGAACATGTTGTGCTTAGAAAACAACCGCCTGGGCCCTGTGCCCTCTTGCACCACTCAGTACTGAGCTGTCACTGCTTTGGCTTAAGATGTAAATTGCTCTGGTGACCTTGGCCTTTGGCCCATTAACCAATTGCTGACAACTGATCAGGACACTGGATCTAGGCACTCACTACTGCTTTTAGGCTTCTACTTCTCATCTGTTTGTAAATAAAGTAGATGAGGACTAGATTGAAGACTGATGAAGTGAATTATTGCTGCATGATAGCTTTCTTGCTCTATTTTTTTTTAGTAAGGATTTATTTTAGTATAACAGGATGAAGTATGGACAAGGTGGGGGAGGGGAGAAAGTGAGCGGAACATTTCCTGTGTTCCCCAGGCAGGAAATAGGAACAAAGACTCAGTTTTCTCTTTTGACACACCTCTCTTGGTGTGTTGTTCATAGCACACTCATGTCCTCCCCCACATCTCTCTCTCTCTTTTTTTTTTTTTTTTTAAGACAGGATCTGGCTGTGTTGCCTAGGCTGTTCTCAAACTCCTTCGGCTCAAGTGATCTTACCACTCAGCCCTCCCTAGTAGCAGAGGCTACAAGCATGTGCCAGTGCCTGACTTTCACGTCCTGTCTTTTTCATGTTACCTTCATAATTTCCTCCCTCCTGACTGTCTTTGGCCTGGTCAGTGATAAGTTCTGCTCTGCTTTCAAAGGAATAGCCCAGCTGAGTACATCTACTTCCCTGATTCAGAACTTCTCAGATTCCGTGTATGAGAGTACACAGCCAGCAATTTTCATGTGAATGGATATTAGTTCCATTCACACTGTTACCACACTTACCTCTCATTGGTCCTGCAATCTCTCATGGTCCAGGCATTCTGTTTACTGCTCTTTGGGAGAGATCACAAGCTCAGATGTGTACAGAGGCCACATAAGTAACACAAATGAATGAAGTGAGCCAGGAGGGGACTGCAGTGAACCAAAGATATAAACCCACTATTGTCAAATTGATTTTTTATGGACTGGAGGTGTGGCTCAATTGGTAGAGCACCTGCTTTACAGGTGTGAAGCCCTAAGTTTAAACCCCAGTACTAGCAAAAACAAAAAGTTGATTTTTAATTTGTTCAAATCTGGATTGGCATATGTGTGCCTCCTTGTATTTAAATGTTAAGTTTAAAAACAAACAGGACTGGGGGTGTGGCTTAAGTGGTAGAGCACTGGCCTAACAAGTGCCCTGAGTTCAGTCCCCTGGTTCCACTGCATGAATCAATCAGCCAATCAATTTTGTAAATCATAGAAGCTAAAATAACACATCTGTTTGTTGTATCCATCCCACTGGCTCCCAGTGCATAGCCTGGGTTCCAAATGACTTTGGAAATTCTAGGACGTATTGCTGAACTGTTGTTCTCTGAGAAGTCTTAACTTCCGTCTTGACTAGGACTCGTGTACTGTTCATTTTCCATATTGTGCAGTGTCTGGATAAAGGGTTGGCAACCCTGTTGCACTTGAGTGCTGCGGACTTGAGAAGATCCTGTCTTTTACATGGGCTCCCCTGGAATGAGGGATGAGGAGAACGCGGGGGGATGTTGCAGGCAGTCTCATTTCTCCCTGACCAGAAAGTAAGGAAGAACTCCTGGGGACTTGGCCATAGTTTCTTTCCTGTGCATTTGTCTCTGAACCCTTTCTTGTAGTATTGCATTTGTTGTTTAGTTGACTGAAAAGGGTGCTCAACATCAAGGGAATTGAAGGCATCAAGTAAAATATAACCCTTGTGCATCTTTAATTCTAGTCCTTTTCCAAGATCTAAAGTCTCCCAGTAAATAAATCTGTGGTGATCAGGGCCAGTTGTTGGGTAGGTTAATGGCAATAGACTGTCACTCTGTACAGAGCAGTCCTGAGACAAACAAGTGCTAATTCAGATTCAGGGGCCTTTTTCTGGGTCGACCCCCTTTGATTCAGTTCCCTAGAAGTCCTGTGGCTCTGCAGACTCAGTCCCATGAAGGTCCTGGAGCTCCAAAGCCTGACTGTGTACGCTTTGTCTCTCAAGGGGAAGCTACAGATGGTGGTGTGCATCATCATGGGCACCCGTGACGATCTCTATGGGGCCATCAAGAAACTGTGCTGTGTGCAGTCCCCGGTGCCCTCTCAGGTGAGTGGTGAGGGGTGGGAGGCAGAGAAGAGGGCACTGTGTCCAAATGGACTAAAGTAACTGTGAGAGAGCCTTGTGCTGGAAGGGCCCTGTTAGGACAAACAGCAGGGAGCTTCTCCTGAGTGGTCCTGCTCCCTCCCTGAGCTGTTCTGCTTGATCAGAGGGTGATCTAATTTGGTCTGAGAGTATAGACTTCACTCTTAAGAGAGGAAGGCCATTTTACCTCAGGGATTAAAAAAATTCCACTGTGCATGAGATATTCATGTGGTTTGTGGTATGTGTATATCGTGTATGCATGTGCGCCTGCTCTTGACTAAAAACCTTAGAATTAGAATTATTTATGTCAAACATATTATCCACTAACTCGAGTATCTTAAACAAATGTAATATCCTCTGTATCTATGGGTTCCATATGAATAGATTCACCATCTACAGACTGAAAATATTCAGAAAGAAAAATTATATTTGGACTGGGCATGGTGGTACACTTCCATAATCCCAACTACTAGGGAAGCAGAGATGAAAAGGATCACATTTCAAAGCCAGCCCAGACAAGTTAGCAAGACCCCATCCCAACCAATAAACTGGACCTGGTGGTGCATGTCTGTATGAGGATCATGGTCCAAGGCTGGCCCTAGGTAAAGATCTGAGACCCTGTCTGAACAATAACTAAAGTAAAAAGAGCTGGAGCATGGCACAAATGGAAGGGCACCTGCTCAACAAGTTAAAGCCCCAGTATCTCCAAAAACAAAAAAGGGAAGAGAAATTACATCTGGGCAGAATGCATAGCAGACTTTTTTCTCTTGTGATTATTTCCTAAACAATACAGTATATAACTATTCATGTAGTCATTATGTTATATTAGTACTATAAATAACATGGAAATGACTTAGAGTATACGGGAAGATGTGTGAGGTGACGTGTGCAAGCACTGTGCCATTGTAAAAGGGAGTGGAGCATCTTCAGATTTTGGTAGGTTTGTGCGCTGAGGGGGTGGCCCTGGAGCCAGGGGATGACTGCTCACATTTTCTGAGAGGTTGACAATGTCCTGCCTTGTATCTTTTGGTCTTGTCACTGTAGGTCATCAATGTCCGAACCATTGGTCAGCCCACCAGGCTTCGGAGTGTGGCTCAGAAAATTTTACTTCAGATTAACTGCAAATTGGGTGGTGAGCTCTGGGGAGTGGATATTCCTCTGGTGAGTGATGCTAGATGTGTCTTCCTTCAGTTCAGCTTTCCAGAGACCCCACCTCTCTCTAGTCCTCCTCTTCCATTTGTCCTTTCTGTTCTCAGTCTGACCCATGAGTCTAAGTGGCTGGCTGCCTGCTTTTGGACAGCCCACTCGCTAAGAATGGTCTTTACTTTTTTATTTTTGGCAGTTCTGGGGTTTGAATTCAGGGCCTTGTGCTTGCTAAGCAAGCACTCTACCACTTGAGCTACTCCCCCAGCCCTTTTTGCTTTAGTATATTTTTCAGGTTGGATCTTGTGCTTTTTGCCTGGAGTCCACCTAGGATCACGATCTGCCTACCTCTACCTCCTGAGTAGCTGGGATTATGGCATGCACTGCCACACCTACCTCTGGTCTTTACCTTTTTAAATGGTGAAAAAAATAAAAATAAGACTAATATTTCATAACGTGAAAATTATATGAAATTCACTTTTCCTTTTCCTTAAATACAGTTTCATTAGAGCCCAGTGCACTGGTTTACATGCTGTCTCCAGTTTGCAAAGACTGGACAGCTTACAAAGCCCAGTATATTCACTCATTAGTCCTTTCACAGGCTATTTTTGCTTATCCTGGTCTGATCTGACTTTGTTCATTTGTTTAGAAAAAGTCAAGTTGATACTGTAATCTTTTTCTTTCTTTCCCAGAACTTGTTTTCATGTATAAACAGAAGGGAGGGAGTTTGTTTGGGGGTTCAGATAATAATTAAAGATGGAGTGATGGATTGCCTGGATTTGGGGTTTGCTTTTTGTTTTTGTTTTCTAATCTAGAAACAATTGATGGTAATCGGAATGGATGTTTACCACGATCCCAGTAGAGGCATGCGCTCTGTGGTTGGCTTTGTAGCAAGCATCAATCTGTAAGTACATGTCTGCTCTATAACACTTGATGACCTCATTTTGGTGCCTGATGTCCCTATAAATGCAGCACTCTGTACAACAGTGCAGGGCTCTAACCTTCCTCCTCTGTCCTCCGGTGATGCTGTGTATGCAGACTGTTTACTGCACTTACCTTAGGCATGAGTTTGCTCTGCTGCTGGGCACCTTTTTGCAAGGGTAATGACTATGTCTCACATTGTTGGCTCTCCCAGAAGTGAGGAAGCTTTGTCTGTTGTTCTAATGACAAAAATAAGGTATGCTCATTCCAGATAGCTGCAAAAATTTAGAAAGTGAAAGTACATCATGGTTCATCTTTTACTTACCACCACCAAACATTTGATGTGTGCATACTCTCAGATTCTCTCTTACACATACATTCCCCACACACGTGTGACATACACACTCAGATGTCCTTGTGTGAGGGTTGTAGTGTGCACTTCCACAGAGTAAGATGGCATGACATCAGTAGGCGATAGAATCTTACAGGACCACTGTCTGCAGCTTGTCCTTGACTGAAACATTGGCATGTGGTACGTGACTATATATGTATAAATACATATGTGTGTGTGACATCCACACATATGTATATGTATTTGTTTACACAGGTGGGATATGTACACTGCATGTTTTCCCATGTCAGTACAAATCCATCTCAGCCAGTTCTTTTTAGTTATTGCACAGAATTTATTGTATGCTCTGTCACTATTTATTTAAATAATTCTCTGTTGGTAGCTATTTAGTTGTTAAATTTTTCTATTGGAAGCAGTTTTGTAGGATACCCCATATTTTTTATACATCTACTTTCCTGTCTCAGTCCACGTTCTCATGTACAACATAAGTGTAGTTTCTAGATATTTATTGTTGGGTTGATTCAGAGAGAAGCTCATGTGTGCTGACAGCAGGCATGGTATCCATTCATCTTCCTTTCTTTCTCTGTCTCACTCCTCACCAACCTGCCCAGGACTCTCACTAAGTGGTATTCGAGAGTGGTGTTCCAGATGCCTCATCAGGAGATTGTGGACAGCCTGAAGCTATGCCTGGTAGGCTCCTTGAAAAAGTACTATGAGGTGAGGAGAACAGAATTCCTAACATTTCTGGGTTTTTTGTTTATTTGGGAACATAGATGTTTATTGCGTGGACAGCGGGTGGGCGACCTCAGTCCTCCTTGACCAGTGCCTTCCTCATGATGGCCCACACATCCTCAACTCCTTCTGCTTCTTCTTGGGACGCATGTACATCTCCACCCTTTTCTTGATGCACTCGAGGGTCTCCTTGTCCTTGGAGACCCTGCAACTCCATGTTGCACTGCACTCCTCCAAGATCATGTCCTGCACAAACTTGGAGCGCTTGATGAGGCACCGCAGTGCTGGCCATGCCTCGGTTTTACTCACGTTCTTGGTCATCTGTGGCCCTTGTTGAGGCTCATGGGCATGGGGAAGCACAGAGTCATGACTGCTGGTCTTCAGTGGCTGCTGGGGAAGAACATTTCTGGGTTTTTAAGAACTACCCACCTGAATCCTGAACCCTTGAACAGAAGTCTGCTAGCGTGGGAAGGATTCCAAATCAAAGGTGAGTCTCTGAAGGAGCCATTGCCCAACAAGCAGTTGGACTACTGCTTTCAGGCTTCTGCTTGTACAGATCAGCTCAAAGAGCCTAATGCTTCAACGTGGTTTGGTAAATAATAATTACTTCCCTATTAGCCTGATGCCTGCAGACATAATCTTCATGCCCTTATCATGGGAATTGGGGTAAATTTCAGCAATTAAAGCAGCTTATGAATTTACTCAGCCTTTTATGACTGTCATTAGGTGCTGACTCTCTTTATTTTGGTCTAAGACAAAGGCTTCCCTGTAAATCACTCCTAGAACTCAAAGAATGCAAACCATGGAGAATTGCTGTTATTAAGTGAGACTGGGCCTGGAACAGTGAACAGACAGTGCTGAGTTTTGCTTTGGCCTGTACATCAAAGGAAGCCCTGATCATGGCTTTCATTCTTGGGGTAGGCTAGCCCTTTGCATAGAGCTTAAGGAGCCAGAAACTGAACTTCATGATTGAAGTCAGTCTCTAGAACTCCATCTTGTCTCTTTATGGACTAATGTTTGCCACAGTGCCCTGCAAGTCATCGGGTAGGCCATGTATTGGAGACTGTGAACTTATGTTTCTAAGACGGTCTGTATGATTTGCTACTCACTAAGTTCCATCATACCTTTCTTTTCCTTGCTATTTCCCTTCAGAGTTACCTGTCTTCTAGGACCTGGCTCCAAGATTACTTCTATGCAGGCTTTCCCATTTTTCCCTCACTATTCCAAACCTAACTAGAATTTTTGTTCCTCTACCAAGGCCCTTATTTTATATATTATATAGTAGTCATATCCTGTTAATTCTATTAGTTTTTTATGTCCATAATGTTGTCATTAGTCTTTTTTTTTTTTTTTCTTTTTTTGGTGAGTTCAAACTCAGAGCCTTGTGTGTGTTAGGCAAACATTCTACTACTGAGCTATACCCCCAACCTACATTGTTTTTTTTTTTTTATTTGTTTGTTTGCTTATTTCTTTTGTTTTCAAGACAGGGTCTCTTTGTTTAGGCCAAGTTGGCCTCAAACTGATGATCCTCCTGCTTTTGACTCCCAAGTCCACCACACTAGCCTTTCATTGGATTTTAAATTACTCGAGCACTGTTTGGTTATTGATGACTCTCTAATAATCACTCTCAAACTTAATGGCATACAGTGAGCATGCATGATAGTCATAGCCAGGAATTTAGACCTTGCCTCTCTCACTTGCTCGCTTGCTCATACTGGAGTTTGAACTCAGGGCTCCGTGCTCTCTAGGCAGGCACTCTATTGCTTGAGCCATGCCCCAGTATCACTTTTGCTGCCTTCTGTTTGCCAGAAGACCTGCTCAGGTTCAAAGGGAGGGGAATAAGTTCTACCTCTTATCTGAAGGGTGGCAGTGTTGTGGCAGAGTGTGTGTGACTGGAGGTAATTGCTGGCTGTTTTTGGAAAGCACATGGACTGTCTTGATTACCTTTTTATCTTTTGCAGGGCCTTGTACGTAGCTGACACTTATTCTTCATGAATTACATTGAATTTGTAATGCCACAGCTCTGTTCTAAAATTGCTATTTGATTTTTATTTGTTTACCTGAATTATGAGGTTTTAAATAATTTTTTTTTTAATAAATGGCACAAGATTTGAAATTAGTTGTTTTGTTTTGTTTTTGGCAGTACGGGGGTTTGAACTCAAGGCCTCATGCTTGCTAGGTGATCTACTGCTTGAGCCAGTCCATCAGCCCTGTTTTTGTGTTGGGTATTTTTGAGATAGGGTCTTTCAAACTATTTGCCAGAGCTGGCTCAAAACCTGGATCCTTCTGATCTCTGCCTCCTTAGAAGTTAGGATTACAGGCATGAGCCACCGGCACCCCGCTTTAAATAATATTTATTAAATACCATTGAGCCAGGTCAAGAGAAACTAAAACTATGTTTATTCTAAATCTAGGATAAAACTAGTCATTTCAATATTCTGTGAATTAAGATGTATAACTTAACTCAAGTCCTTAGTATTGTCTTAATCTTTTCCAGCTTTTGCTGTTTTCCCAGCTGTTCTGTATCTAGCAGAAAGAATCTTTATTGAAAAGCTCCTTTGATCATGTCTCTCTCAGAGCTCTCCCAATTCCCCAGTGGCCTTGGAAACAAATTTACTCTTGGGTATAATGGTTCTGGCCACCTCTAGACTTCGGAATTTGTGTTCCCCTAAGAGTGATGGTAGCAGCAGAAGTTATAACACCTCTAAGTAATTCTTTTCTAATAAATTTTTATCCCCATTTAGATTGGTGCTTGGGGGCTGGGGATGTAGCTCAGTGGCAGAGTGCTTGTGTAGTATGCACCAGGACCTGGGTTCTGTCCCCAGCAAAACACACATGCACACACATGCACGTACACACGCACATGCACACACGTCCTCAGTAACCACTTTCACAGTTTTATTTTTTCTTCTGTATGTGTCCTTGTACTCTTAGACAGTATATGTATTTTTTGCTCTTTTTGTTTGAGACATCTGTTCTAGTCTTCCTACTGTGGCAAAGGAGCTCTCACAACTCTGGCACTGGCATTCCCCATCCTCTACCTCAGCACAGTGTAGTTAGATGGCATGATTCCATGTAAGTATGTCATCATATACCCAATACAGTTGCACTATAATCATTTTCTTTCAGAAATTTGAAGGCATTACATCATTGTTCTGTAGACAATTCTACCTCTAGTCTACCTCATTCCACTCAATATAGTTATATTACAAAGTATGGTTAAATCATTTGTAGTGTTTATAACAGCTGAGTCACATAATATATTACGAGTATAGTTTCTTTCTTTGATAACTTCTGGCTTTTTCCTAGAGTTAGTGATTCTTATATTTTTCTCTATACTTTCTGAATACTTATCACTAATTCTTTACTCAAATTCAATAACTTAAAACTTATTAACTTCTAACACTCTTTTTTTTCTTGGGTAGATCCTTCCTAGAACCCTTCGTTCTGTAGCAGATGTTAGATGCAAGACATCACGTTTTATCTGTTGACGTGAGACTCCCCTTTATATCTGGGAACTTACTGTCTTCTCTTTTCTGTGTCGGATGACTTTATCCTTCTTGGCTTATTCATTGTGTTGTTTGTTTTTTGGTGTTACAAGGGATTGAACTCAGGGCCTTGCAATTGCTAGGCAAGCACCCCACCTCTTAACCTACACCCCCAGTTCTTTTACTTTTAGTTTGTTTTCCAGAAAGAGTCCTGTGTCTATGTCCTGACCAGCCTTGGACCATGATCCTTCTACCTCTGTGTCCTGAGTAGCTGAGATTATAGATGTGAACCACCACACACAGCTTTTTTTGAGATAGGGTCTCACTAACTTTTTTGTGTGGGGGGTATTGTTCTGGGGCTTGAACTCAGAGTGTTGTGCTTGCTAGACAGGTACTCTACCACATGAGCTACTCTGCCAGCCCAGGTCTTGCTAATTTGAGGCCTGGGTTGCCCTCAAGTCTGGGTCATCCTGTCTTTGTCCGATGAATAGCTGGGATTTCAGGCATGCACCACCACTGCACTGGGTATTAGTGGGCTATTTTATCTGAAAATAAGCCTGAGGGTGTGTGAAATTTTTTGCTATTTATTTCTTTTGATGATTTCCTCTCTTCATTTTTTCTCAATTTTTCTGGTTTTCTAGATGAAAGTCTCCAGTTTTTTATTTTTTATTTCTATTCTTCATGTCTTTCAGTCTAATTTCTTGGTGATTTATTTGACTTTATGTGCCTTCTAGGAAATATTAATTTCAGAGATTTCATTGTTGATGTAGGAATTTAGGGACGAACAATGGAGTTAAAGAGAACAGTCCCCAAGATTGCCCTCATTCCAACACCACTTGCATGTTTGGGTGATTCCCAAAATTATGCTCATGTTTTTCTGTTTTGGTGGCTCTGGGGTTTGAACAAGCTTGCCAAGCAGGTACTCTGCCACATGAACCATGCTTCCAGTCCATTTTACTCTTGTTATTTGGAGATGGGGTCTTGAGAACTGTTTTCCCAGGCTGGATTGAACCACAGTCCTCCTGATCTCAGCCTCCCAACTAGCGAAGATTCCAGGCATGAGCCAGTTGTGCCCAGCCCACGCTTGGTTTTTATAATTCAGTGAAGTGAAGGGACACAGAACTCACTGAGAGCTTGTGGTTATCTCATTAAGAAAAGATTAAAATCAACCTAGGGAAGAAGTACACAGACAGAGGCTAGAAGTGCCACACATGGAACTTCATGAGCCTCCTGTGCTAGTTCTCTGGCACTGATGCCTGGTAAGTGTTGTGGAGAATTACCAACCAGGGCTGCTCCCCTGAGCCTTGGTGACCAACGGTCATTGGAATCCCTTATGTGGGCAGGGTTGATTGATTACTGGTTGCCCTTGTGATTGATCACAGTCTGTCACACTGGTCTGACTCTTGTGCAGTCCTGAAGTCTCTGCTTAGCTCAGCAAGCAGCTAATGAGTGGACATAGACTCCACAGACACCTTCAGCCTCTGATTCAGTTACCAT